AATGAGTTTTGCCCCATTTTATGGTTTTTCTTGCCACATTTGTTAAGTGAATCACTGCAGTTGCTAAATTAGTAACACCGTTAAGTGAACCTGGCTTTCCCACTGACTTTGCTTGTCAGGTCACAAAAAGCGATCACATGACCCCGGGGCTGCAACTGTCATAAATATGAACCAGTTCTCAAGCATTCAAATGAAAATCACACGATCTTGAGGATGCGGCAATGGTTATAAGTGAAAAAGAGTTATGTCACTTTTTTCAGTGCCATTTAACCTTGAATGAGCTGTTGTAAGTTAAAGACAACCTATATCAGTCTTTCCAACCCAGTGCCTTTCAAGTATGTTGAAACCTGCCTCCCACCACTCAGCCCCAGCATAGAAATTGCAATTTCTGCTGCATCACATTGGGGAAGTCTGGGATAGAGCACTGGATCCATGGACTGCTGGATTCGGGAAAGGGGCATGGTTCCATTCGATCTCCAGCGCGGGCTTGCAGATTGTTTTACAGCTGCCCGCCAAAGCAAACTGATTTAATTAACGCCTCTTCTTTATTTTAACCAAAATTCTGGGACCGCAGAGTTTGATACTACAAGCCGGTTCTTCTTTCCTACGAACTATTAGAACGTCTTTGCAGAAGGAAACGCAGCGCACGTCCAACGACAATCTTCGCAAAGGCTCGAAACAGGCGGCCGAACCACGAATTCTCGAACGCTCAAAGACACGAGGCGTCCATTGCGGAGACTGGGAAACAGCACTGCGCAGGCGTAGTTCGTTTCCCGCGGTTTTCCTTGGCGGTTGGTTTAGCGCGGGAGCCGGTCGTCGAGGCCGATGGCTGCTTCCTCCGACGGAGGCAAGCCGCTACAGCCCGTCACTCATGTCATCTTTGACCTGGATGGCACCCTCATAAACACCGAGGATATCTTCAACAACATCATGAAAGAACTCTGCAGCCGCTATGGGAAGACGTACACTTGGAAGGAAAGGTCCCAGATCATGGGGATGAAAGAAACGAACGGCCTGGAGATTCTCCGAAAGCTTTTCGATCTGCCCTTAACCGTCGAAGAAATCCTCCGCGAAACCGCCCAAAAGAAACGAGAACTATATCCCACCTCTGCCTTAATGCCCGGCGTGGACAAGCTGGTCCGCCATCTGCACGGGCACAAGATCCCCATCGCCGTCGGCACCAGCTCCGTTCGCGAAGTGTTCGAGATGAAGACGGGGCAACTGAAGCCCTTTTTCGATTTGTTCCATCACCTTGTGACGGGAGATGACCCCGAGGTAAAAAACGGCAAGCCGCAGCCCGATATATTTTTGGTTGCCGCCAAGAGGTTCGAACCGCCGGCATCTCCGGCAAAGTGCCTCGTCTTTGAAGACGCCCCGAACGGGGTCAAAGCGGCCCTGGCTGCCGGCATGCAAGTAGTCATGGTCCCCGACGGCGGGTTGCCCAAAGAACTGACGAAAGAAGCCACCCGTGTCCTACAATCAATGAATGATTTCAAGCCAGAAATGTTTGGCTTGCCGAAGTTTGATTGACATTTGCTTGTCTTGTTGATCTTACGGATTCAGGTTTTTCAATTTCCAGTATTAAAAGCATTCCAAAAATTCCTAAGTGGTACTATAACAGCATGCTCTCTCTTCCTGGATAATTCCTTATTGAAATCCACCACTGCGAGGTGGAAAAAGATGAGTTGTATCTGTTATTCCTATGTTGCTAACAAATACCCTGCCAAGGAATAAACTGGTGCCTTGCATGGAAGTGTAATTTTCCATACAAAATAATATTTATCTTTGCTTGTGATTCATCACAACATTCGATATTCCTAGCTGGGGAATACTGCAGTCTTGTCTCCAATTGATACTCTATCCTCCAAAATAAGATGCAGTCCATCCACTTACTACTCACGTTAACTTAATTCCAATATGATTAACCATGGTCTGTTAACTATAACATTGCATGAGTCAATTGCTTGGATTTACTAACTTCTGACTCCTATGCCATAATCTGTAATATAAGTAACAGGAATCGGTGCACTTAGGTCAGGACCAATAGTTTTGGGCTAGGGAAACTTGGGGGGTGGGGAATAAATAGGCACTATTCCAAAATGGCTCCACTGAAAGCTCATCTTTGTTAACAAAATAGCTGAGAAGGTAGGCAGCACAAATGATAAATCTGCATTTTTTTTGACAATCTACTGAGTAAATCTTTACAGAGAGGGAAGGGGAGAAAGTCCAAGACAATTGGAGCAATAGTAGTAAATGGAGAAAAGAGTGAAAAAGGCAGATATAAGCATAGGAAGTAATAAATAGGGTTTTTTGTTTAGAATGTTCAGTTTTTCTACTTAGAATATTTATTTGTATTGTCACCCCCCAAAGTACTTATGGTTTAGTCTTGTTTCCATGCATGATCTCTGCCCATCAGATATTCCATCATAATCCTAAAGGTAGGACAGATCCTCCCCCAACAGAGGAAGATGTCAATAGCCTCATAGGGTACTGCTTTGAAAACTTCATAGTCCATAGTAAATTGAATTGACAACCTGCAGAGGAAGATGATTAAGACAGAACAAGAGCTAGTATTTATACATCCATTAAATGAAACTGAAGCAAAAGATTCAAAACAAAAAAGTACTATAGGTAAGTAACATAGCATTTAGACAGGTATTTTAATTTACTAATGTTTTATGCTGTAGTGTAGTGCATGTGTAAATATTTAAATACCCTTTCACTAAAAAGTATTTAGATATTTTATAAAATAGAAGTTATCATCAAAGCATTATGGTTTATTTAAAAAAACTGTTCGTATGTCTCTATTCTAAGAACAATGCCATTCTTCAATATTTGAATATATGAAAGATTGCTATCATAAGAATACCTGAATGTCAAAGATCTTCAAGATGAGATTCTTTGAGATTCAGATAATCTTGTGATAGCAGTTTTATGGTATAAGAAATGCAGATATATTCAGTGATAATGTGGGTAGATCTTCTAAGTTGATTTTTTCATTATAAAGAAAAAAATATGTCAATGTTTTCAAATGGAAACAAAGGTTGAAAGGAATTATCTGCCACAAGAGAGAACAGAGAGAGGGAGAGATGGGGAATCTTAAGAGAAAACCACATTGGTTTTTTTTTTACTGATTCTTCAGAGTTATTTTAATGAACATGTATCAGAGCCATTTTGGAGTTTAGCAGGATAGAAATACCAATAATAAATAAAAGTAGGAGCCCTTCCAGAATAAAAAGGTTATTGTTTCATAAAAGCACTCAGAACAATTTGATAAAATGACATTACTGTAAAGATACCTTTGATATATACAGTATATTCTAAATGCGCAATACTACATCATCATGTCTTAACATGTGGAGCTCTTATGCTTCACTGTGGCAAGCCCAATACTACTAACGGGGTGGTGATCTGTGGGTGTTAACACTAATGCAAAATGCAAAACTAATTCCACAAGTGAGAGTAGCCTGACTAGTTTATCAAGTATTATTTTTCTCCCAACTCTATACATATTCATAAGTTGATTGGCATATAGATAAGTTAATTGGGTATATGAAAAATACAGGCAATGTAAGTTATGAAAGATTTTATTGAGATCAGCTCCATATATTGTAGGATTTTCTCAAGGTATAACTAGAACAAAAGGTCAAACCAGAATGTAATGACTGTAGCATGCTTACTGATTCTTATCAAAGCAGCTTTTCTATTGCAGCGTTTGTGCAATCTTATCCATGACTAATGTAGTTATGGTTTAGTTGCCCGTATCATCTATCAATATGACACTCAGCCAAAAATTAACTATATTTTGTATGAATATGCTAAGCCTCAAAAAGCCTAACCTAGGTTACAATTAATCAAACTTCGCACAACCACAGCTTCCATGTGGCTTTTAAAAGTTTGTTCAGTAACTCTTATCTTACTAAGAGTATAATAATTACAGTGAGAGTTATAAACTATTACTGATTGTCTGTTTATGATTAAGAATTACCCCAAGTAATACTCCTGAATAGGAGATGATCTACTGGACAAGTAGGTTGTCACCGTTATGTTTTCTAGCTATGAATGTGCCACAGATAACAGTGTACGGTAGTAGCATGTTAACTTTTTCTAGTTCTTGACAAAATTACCCCATCCCAAATCATAACGCAAACTGTAAATGGCTCCCAATTTGGTAATAACTTGCTGAAAAACATGTTATGGAGCCTTGTTGGGATCCATGTAACAGAACCAGAGCTTTCTAAATGTTCCTCTGTAGGGTTGGAATTTGCTTATACAGGTACTCATCTTGACATAATTCCAAGAGCTAATTTTTTGACAAGCCTAATGAACCTAGAACCTAGGTCAACTGTGTTGAGGAGCACAGCCAAGTCAAGCATTGTCATTGGTTTCCCCGCTTTATCTTAACTTTAGCTGTTCATATTGTCTGGACCAGGTAGATAACTCATGTGTGATTTTTCTCCAACTTTAGTGTATACAAGGAAGGGCTAAAATGTGATACAGGAGAGAGGCATTTTACCCATTCTATCTCATCTGATATAGTTTTTATTTACTGTATCAAAAATCACTGTAGAATTGACTGGGCAAATAGGTAAAATTAGTGATAATCAGCAAACTTGGGGGAACATATTTTGCTATTTGGTTTTCTTTTCTGAAGATGGTGTAACACAGCCAAGGGTCTTCTCTGACTCCAATATACATTTAAAAAATCATTTCTAATTTTAAATTTGTTTAACTTTCAATTTTTGATTCCCAACTTTTATCCTGATGACTGGCATGTATTTGGTTTTCTTTTACCACAGTACTTTTTAAAAAATCTTAATGGGTAGGAAAAAAAGGATTCACTCTTAAGTCTACACATATAAGCACAAGAAAATCCTTGAAGCAGTTAACTAATGATCTGTTCCCTGAACTGAATTGCATGCTAGTCACAGTTACTGATGAATTATGCCTACTATTGGAATCTCCCTTGTCAGACCAATACAATTTACAGATTGCTGAAAAAAATCTGAAGTGTTATTTTTACAAAAGATACAGACTTGGAATACAGATCTTTTATATTTTAAACAGTACCACCTCTTATTCCCCTCTTGCCTAGACTTAACCAGAAGAGTGACTGTCCATTAAGAAGAATCAGCATATGTACCTATTTCTGATATGCTCCATGCTTACACTTTATTTTACAATATTGTAAACAATTTGCTATAGCTATTCCCCTGAAAATTAGCCTACCCAATTTGTTTCTAGAAGTGTTTCCTAGCTCCCCATATTTCTCAAATCAATAGTGGATATGACAGTTTTGGATCTTGGCTCTTGAATTTAACCTCTCATTTTACGCATTGTACAGTAATAATCACTGGTAATTTCAATGCCAGATTGAGAAGTAATGATAAGGCTTTTCTCCTGCATTACAGTGTCCCATGACTTTCCTCAATTGAGACTTCCCAGAAATCTAAGGATTCCAACAATAACACAGATTTGGAAGCTTTTCTTATTGGCAACAAAATTTGACTTAAAGATTCTTAATGAATTCTTAATGAATCTATTCCATGAAGATCCAGAGGGGGAACTCATTATTAGGGATCCTAGAAGGGTATCAACTTTGGACTACATGCTAGTTACTAGTACCTTTGCCTTCCATTGCAAAGACTTTAGTGTGATCTTCCATCAGAGGGTGACTGCCTACCCAACTGTGGGTTCAACTGTTTTTGATTCAACTGGGCCAAGTTTATCTCTACTGACAGGTTCCTTAGACCTGTCTGGATGAACAGATTGGATATGATCTCATCTCATTTTATTTTTATTCTCTTTGTTGATTTGAGGAAATCAGTAAGTATAACCAATGATGCCCTTTTTCATCAGAAATCATTACTCAAAAGTTCACACAGCCCTCATTACGCTGAACTAACCCCTGCCCCAAAGCCTGGTTTGAGATGTAAAAGGGTCCAAGCACAGGCAATTCTTGCTTACAGGAATTCCTGTATCCATAATGACTCTACCTCATATGAAAACTTTTACCCTGTAAAAAAGGACTATAAGAAATAAACTTTTAAAAGGATAGTTACACTCTTGAGAATTGGACCAGAATCCAACAAGCAATAGTAAATAAAGACAATTGTTTTTTTGTCTCTACTTTCACCCAAAAGAAATGCTAGTAGCAACAATAATTCCTCTTAAGTTTTGGCTTGGATATTTCTGGATATTTCTATAATTTTCACACCAACTGAAAACCTTTAAGTTCCTAACAGCTATTTGATGAACTTCTTCCTGAATGGACTCAGGTTTCACTTCCAGAGGTTCAAAAAATAATTTTGCAATTGGGAAGCAGCAGGAGGAACCCTGTTAAGAATACAAGATACCAGGGATCTTATACAATACTCTATAACACATCCTACTCGCCTATGTTCCATAGCACTTGCTTGTGGCACCTGCTGGCCCACCTGCATTCCATAGTGCCTTCCCACAATACCCCATGGCATTCTGCAGCACATGCCCCCAGCACCATCCCACACTCCCACCTGTTCCTATGGTATATAATGACTTGCACAGTCCTTGAGGTTACAATAGCAACTAGGGCTGTCAGAATTGCTGTTACTAAGCAATGTGGTCACACGATGTCATGCTTTACAACAGCATTTTCGGATCCTTAATGTTCTTTGAGCTTGGTGGTTTTCTTGCAGATGTTCCATTAACAAATTAGGTAATTAGTCATCAGTGCTAGCATAAACAGCTGATCAACATGTCTAGCTGTCTACTATCTACCGCAGAGCACAGAAAGGCCTCAACTTCAATGCTAGCACTGATGTTACCTAGTTTGGTAATGTCTCACACCAAGCTCAGAGCATGCAACCATTCAACCCTGATCTACAAATATTCTTTTTTTGATACAATAGCATTTCTTAGCAATAGAAATTCCAGACCAATTGTCATTATAATCTGAAGACTACCTATACTGGACTTTTATTGTTTGGTCTTGAATGGTAAATAAATTTTGAATGTGTGACAAATATATATTAAAAGTGGTAACATTTTTACATCCTTAGAACTTGTCAAAAACTGAGGAAACACCGAACTGTTAAAAATTACAGGAAATCACTGGGAAATGTACCACTCCTCACCTGGCTATAAAAGGAACAATTGGTTTAAAAGTTGTCTCCTGAAATAAAGTTTTTAAAAAGAACTGGGAGAAAAGAGAGGCAACATGTAGAAAAGAAAAAAAGAGAGAAAAGCTGAGATCTAAAAAAAAGTAGACAAAAACACAATGAAACACTTTTACCTTTTGTTTGCCACTTGAATATACTTTTAATTCTGGGCAGGGCAAAAACCAAAGCAGAAAATCAAGGTCTATCACCTTAGGCAAAACTATACCCACTTTCATAGCAGTTTAGAAAAAAAAAAGAATGCTAATTACTGTACTAACTGGCTCAGGTGTTAACCATTAAAATATACTGTACAGAGCGTTAAATAAAGCCGCTTTCACATTAGCATTAGAAAAGCAAATACATTTACTTCCCATGTAGATGCAGCATGCAGCTGTCAAGAGAGACTTTATGAATGCAGAGAAGGGGCAATGCTTTCTCTCAAGTAGTAGCTATTGCTTGCCTGTAGTTTTTGGTAAAAATAATTATTATTCAAAGGCACTTATTGGCTAAATGATACAAATCTACAAGCTAGATGCTCCAGCGCAGGAATCTAAATATTGTAAAGTGCAGGGTTTCATGGCTATTGGTGAAATGAATTCTGGATAAGTTCTCCAGATATGACTACAGTTGCCATATACTTTTGCCATGGATCATGCTAAGATCAACAGGAGCAAATGTTTTGGTTGCTGAGTGCTGGGCTAGACAATGAAACAAAACAAGATGCGCTATAAAATAAAATCTTAAGACTTACTCTTCCTTTTTGAGTTTCAGTATTTTTTTAAAATTTTGTTCACAAATATGATTAAAATATTGAACAGATGCTTAATTTACACACTTTTCACCATAAACTGAAACAGAAGCTAAAACAATGAGGAAAATGGAAATTGGAAGACCAATGCTTTATCACTGCAATACTGGAAATTGTGAAACCAATATAAACACAATAAAAACCTTGTGATGTCTAAATTTGGAATTTCAAAATATTCCACCTTCATTTTGAAATATTTCACCAATTCTGGCTATGTACTGTCAAAATTAAAATTGACTCGATATAAGCTTGATGTTTAATTTCAGTTTATTACTTTTTTAAAAAAGCAGAAGATCATAGAATGTGGATGATACTGCTGATTATAGAATACAGCTGATCCGGCTACCAAGTTCAATACTGACATTGGACAATCAGTCTATCAACCTCACTGTTGCCTTTTTTAAAAGAAAAAAAAAGAAACCCTGCTTTGTCCTTGTAAGCCGTTGTCAGTCACCATCAATTCAGGATGAAGTAGTAGTCTGCAGCCTCCACATTTGGCTAGCAGAAACCAAGCAGCCACTGGAATTCAAAACTCCAAGGTTGGGGGGTGGGGAGGAGAAGGGGGAAAAGCTATGCTTGACATAGATGTAACCAAGTTCCTAATGTGGCCCATCATTGTTGAAAAGAAGAAAATTAGTTGTGCATCCGCTTTACTCCTCTGGTTATGTGGAAGAGGTCCAGATTGGACTTGGCAGATGCTCAGTGGTTTCCTTGCAGACTCCTTGTATATATATATATAGTACTGGCTCTGTAACACTTTATGGACAATTGGCATACTATCGATCAGAGCTCAGGAGAAGATATCTCAGCCTGACTAGACGAACTGGGCAGCCTGAGCTCTGCATTGTTTCGGACAACAGTAAAGAGGCTTACAACAGCCAAGAGGGCCATTACCATCATAACAGAGCAGATAGTGAACATATTCCTAGTACCCGTCTTATAATCACTATCATGGAGGATGAGTAGCCCAAGGCAAGCCAGTAGGTTCAATGGAACACGGAACCAATGCATCACACCTGCCTGATCCTTCTCAGGAATCACTTTTTGCCTGAGAAAACCCATGGAAGGGAAGTAGAGCCCACACGAGAGCTCAATAAGCAGGAAGGCCAAGAAGGACTCCGATGGGTTCTCTTGCCCAGGATTGGTTGAGAAAGTCAGCATGAAGAGTGAAAAAAACACCATTAGGACTGAAAGAGACAGGATGTGCATGGGCTGGAGGTGATATTTCTTGGATGTGGCCACACGGTACAGTGAGGATCCAACCATGCTGGCAGCCATGAAACTGGAGAAGACAATACCCAGAGGTGGGTTGTAGGGATCCAGGACAGGAGTCCAGAGGAAGATGAAGATATAGATGACACTTTCAAATAAGGCCTGAATAGTCCCCAAAAGCAGGACACGGCGGTCGGAGAGAAGGCATTTCAAGCCATCAGTGTAAGTTCTGGACAGTGCCCTCTTCTTTCCATAATTCTCATCCCAGTTCTTCATAACCAAAGTACCAGCCAGCACAAGAAAGGGAATAGAGACCATAAAGGGAGCTACTGGGCCAAATCCCAGCCATTCAGCAAAGATATTGGCTACTACACCAGCTCCAATAGCAATTATGCTATTCCAGAAGGCAGCCTTTGTGAAGGTGGCAGGAATCCACTCAGCTGGGAAATCGTGGCGCTCCACATGCTCATGCACATACCATGCCTCAAAGGCAGAGAACAGGAGAGCAGTGGACAGCCCTCCTAATATTCTTCCTACAATTAGAACAAAATAATCCCAGGAGAGCTTTGTGAGGCAGCAGACAGAGTAAGTCAAGGAGAAGAGGATGCAAGACTTTTTTCGGCCCAAGCGGTCAACCAAGGAATTGGAAACCAGCCCAAACAACACACTTGAGGCAAAGCCACAAACATAAATAATGGTGATCTGGGCCTCCAAGAAGTTATAATGCTGGTAGAGTTTGTAAAGATAAGGTCCTTGCAACCAATCGGCTGTGAGAGCCAAGAAATAGACTTGATAATAATCTAGCTGGAACTGCAAGAAGGCTGGGTTGGAGTAAGACCTGCTGGTGAGCCTGGAGCGACAGGCGGAGAACTCCAAGCCCAAACATATTAGTAGGAGCAAAGCAAAAGCGACATAGGCAGCAATCAGCATGGTGCTTCAAATCATCCTGTGCATCTCTGAAGATCTATTCCCAGCACAGCTGAAAGAGAAAAAGAGAAGTTCAAGGGACATTTAAATCAGGTAAATATGAAAAAAAAACAAACCCACCATGTTGCTAAATAAAGCTAAGGCTCATTTTAATCCAGCATTTTAATTCTCACAATGGCCAAAGAGGTTACTCTGCAAACCTCACAAGCTGGAGATGGGAGACTTGGCCTTCTCTTAGCATTCCTTCCTGCAATTAGTATTTGTAAGCATGCTACTTTTAATCTAGAGATTGTAGACTTCAAGATTAATGGCCCTTGAGAGACCCATTTTTCACAAAGTGATCCAATCCCTTTCAAAGCCACCCAAGTTAGTGGCCTTCACCATATCATATGATAAGTAATTCTAAGCACGTTATGTTATTCTAAATCTCCTTCTAGTCCAGGGGTCTCCAACCTTGGCAACTTTAAGACTTGTTGACTTCAACTCCCAGAGTTCCTCAGCCAGCAAAACTGGCTGAGGAACTCTGGAAGTTGAAGTCCACAAGACTTAAAGTTGCCAAGGTTGGAGACCCCTGTTCTAGTCAGCTTTACTCCTCATCTCAGTGTTTTGAGAGAGAGTTTTTTTTTCTTTCTTTTGCTCCCATTCATGTTCTTTATAACTTTCACAATTTGGTGAAAAGGAAGTTTTTCTGAAGACTTGAAAGAGACTGGTGGTCCACTCCTGTTTTTGAAATGATGTCCTCCAAATATCTGCACATTTAGAGCATACTGTTATATATCTTTATGGTGAGTTGTAACAGTTATGTTCATAACTTCCAATCATGGGAGTGAAACAGATCAGCTAAATAAAAGGTAAATGCAACTTGAAGTTGAATTAATCTTTGGTGACTACATGGATTATATTTAATGTTCACTTCAAAGCATAACCTTCATATCTACAATTTCTTACTAACCAACTCTCATCTTGCTTAGCTTTTTTAGGATCCACATTAAAAATGTGGCACACTAAAAGATTAGCCCCCCAAAGGAGGTTTGGCTGGAAAGAAAAATAATGTCAAAAGTAATATGAAGAAATCATTACACATCTGCCAAGAATTGCAATGGAAAGGAAAGGCTGTATGACACTGAGGTTACTAGCTGATATTAGAACACTTATGTTGTTTCACTGCTTCCTACATGAGCAACTGAAAACAAGATCTACCAGCTGGACAAGACAGGTGTCTTCCCCCACCAGTTTGGGAAGGTAATCAGTGGATTGCAATACTGTCTTCCTGAAGAGACTACTGAGGCTATGATTAGGTGGTCTCAAATAACTCCATAGCAGGGAGGGAGATGTTAAAACCTTAAAGTACTAAAGTAACATTATTGCAGCAATCTTGAAACACAGTTTCTGCATCAAACAATGCAGGACTTCATTTTTAGCTGCCATGCTAAACTCCAAATAATACTTCCATTAAATGCAGATATTAATAATAAAAACCTCAAGATTTAGGCTTAAGTAACACCCAAGAAGGCATCCTTGGGTTTTGCAATGAGTTTTTAAAAAGAAGGGCTAGTTTTATTAACTATAAACTATATTAACATTTTACTTTCTGGAAAATAATTTCCTAATATTAAAACAGGAAACTATTGCTTGCAGAAACCCATCCTGTTGAATGACACTATTCAACACTATACAACCCTAATATCACAATCTAAAATACAGATTCATAGTATATTTAAAGGCATTCAATACGTGTTTGCCCAACAAGGACAACTCAGCAAAACAACAGGTTTGCCTAGCGCAAACTAAAAAGAAAGGAAGGAAGACAGTATTTGATACATCCAAGCCCTGAGTTTCTTATACTTTCTACAAGTACAAAATCTGCAAAAGGGATCGTACAGTTAGGAACGACGGAAAGGAGCTTCCCCAGTTGTGTTGCCATTAAAACTATCCCCCAGAGAAATACCCTCGCCATTTAAACCAATATCCAGTACACATCGTAAGAAATCAACGTGTTCCTTCCACTTCTATGTCTTACTTCTTCTACTGTAAGCCTTCCCATCCACCCATCCCGCTCCAAATGAAAGATCTTCCAGGTACGTTTGAAGTACTACACCATTCCCAAGGCTCAGGTAGCACTGCCACCAGTTAGGAATACAGGAAACTCGCAGCCCGATGCATCTGGAGGGCATTAGATTAGTTCTGCCCCAAACCAATGCGCCTCTTCCCTTCCCTACTCAGCTTCCACCACCCTGGTCCTTTAGATCACCCAGGACCCTTCCACAGGAGGCCTCCCCGCATTTGACACGCGTGCTTTAAAAACACGCATCTTTCCCCCCTGCAACCCACCTGCCGGACTCGCGCGAACCGCTCAGCACCGCTTTTCCAGCCTAGCCGAGCGCAGGCTGCACTTCCGGTTCCGCCTGGAATGGTTGACCGTACAACACGAGTACGGCAGGAGCCACCATCCTGGTCGGTCACGTGACAAAAGCCTGCCAGTCAACGCTGCTCGAACCTTGGGGAGTGAGGGGGTGCCGTTTGCAGCCTGGGAAGAACGGCGCTGATTGGTGCACTTTTTTCATGGTTCTTTTTACTTTTTTAATAAACTTGAGGGAAAATCCCATCCAGCTGATGTTTCGTTGCGATTTCAGTTATCCCAACGCTGAGGAGGGGGAAGCCTCAGGAGTGGGATGAATTGCAATTATTTTCTGCAATTACTGCAACTTTTGCAGGGGTTTTCTTTTTCTTTTTTTGCATTTTTTCCTTAATTGCTGCAGTTATTTTCTACTGACGTGCTCACTTGTTTCTCTAGAACAGTGTTTCTCAACACTTGGCAAGTTTAAGTGTGGTGGACTTCAACTCCCATAATTCCCCACCCTAGCAAGCTGGCTAGGGAATTCTGGAAGTTCTGCTGTACATGTCTCAAACTTGCTACTCTGATAGCCCAAGACAACGTTTGCAGTTTATGTCCTCAGTAAATGGTACTGAGCACAGAAAGGTATGTCATACATGACAGGTGATTTTGATGCAGTAGAAGAAGAGTGGATACCTAAAAAAAACACCCCAGAACTTTTGTTTCTGAACCTTTAATAACAATGATTGTCTTTCACCCATGGTTCACTCAATAGTAGCTTAGGAAATTAACCCATGATTCTAGATTTGAACATTGAACCATGAACTAAAATGCCAGTGGATTCACATGATGTTAGGCCAGAATGTGGTTTGTTAGTTTGTGGTTTAGGGTATTATACAAACCAAGAGAAATTTTAGCTACAAATAGCTGTTCTTTTCTTTGTATAAGAAAGGAGTGGTTGAATATGGGCTTTTATCACAGGATACAGATGTCACCTCCTCTCATTTTCAGAGTTGCTCTTTCTCTACTGAAATGACTTTCTATTTTCAGAGTTATTAATGTACTGCATTTCAGAATGAATCAGAAGCATGAATGTAGTAATAAAGCCATACCCGAAGTGAATATGAAATTGAATTATGTCCAGAATAGTTATAGGTAATGTGATATCTATAGATCCATTATTGCAATTCACATTTCATGTATATCAGGCCCAGTGGGGATTTGGCCATTTGTAATTTAATCTTCTGTTGTAATGACATAAAAAGTATACAACAATTTTGAAAAATTGAGATTTTACAGTACAGATATCCTTGACTTATAACCAATTGTTTAGCACAAATGAAGGCAAATATTTGTGTCCCAGAATAATGTTGCAGGATCCAATCTGGGTTGGTCACTGGAACCAGAAGTTTTGTCTTCTGAGCTTTCAGACTTTTGCTGGAGCCCATTTCAGGGAACTTCTCTCTAGCAGAGTGTGTGCTTTGGGCTGTTCTTAATATGGTGCCTATTGTATATGGCTTTTTAAGTGTTGATTGGGGTGTTGATAGCTGCTGTTGTTGATTGTTTTCTGCTTGTGCTGCCAAGCCCTTGCATTTTAAGTGCTTGATAAGCCAAGCACTCCTCTTGATTGATGAACCTGTTTTCCAGGCTTCAATCACTTCCTTGGCTGCTTTGTGCCTGCTTGTTCAACAATCTTAGTAGCTGAAAAATTCTGAAATTTTTTTGATGTATGGCAGGATGTGGTTGGTCTTGTACTTTGTTTTTTCCTTTCTTTCCTCGTGTTGCACAGGCAACCTGTAGCAAATTATTGCCATACCTCAAAAACATTGTGGAAGCTGTAGAATGCAGCTTACGAGATCTGCAAGTGGGCATTGCACACCGCCCAGAGGCCACCATATGAGGACAAATTATTCATTGTAAAAATGACTTGCAGGTGGGGGATACTTGCAATGTAATTTACCTGATCCTCTTCATGGATTGTCCCTGTGATTATGTAAGAGAGATGGGAAGGAAGCTATCCACCAGATTGCAAGAACACATGCTAGTGGTCAGACGAGACCTGAACTCGTTGGTAACCTCACACTGCATTGACAAGAATATACATTCAATTTTGCAGCTACTAAGATTGTTGGACGAGCAAGCACAAAAACAGCCAGGGAAGTGATTGAAGCCTACAAAACAGGCCCCGTCATTCAACAGGAGTGCTGATCTATCACCACCTTATCAAGTACTTAACAGGTGAGGGCTTGGCAGCACAAGGAGACAATTGGCAACAACTTAACAGTCAGCCAGCAACCCCCCAATCACAACATCAAAAAAGCCACATACAACAAGCAACCCAAAGCATATACTCTGCTAGACTAGTTCCCTGAAGATGAGAAATTCCCTGAAGATGAGCTCTAGCATTAGTCCTCAAGCTCGGAAGACAAAACCTCTGGTCCCAATGACCGACCCAGATTGGATCTTGCATTTGTTTAGAGTTTGAAATTACAAGAGTATTGAAAAACGTGGTTTATGACCAGTCCTCAAGCTTATGAGCCCTGATGGCACAGTGGTTAGAATGCAATATTGCAGGCTGACTCTGCCCACAGTTCAATCCTCATGGTTCAAGGTTGACTCAGCCTTCCATCCTTCCGAGGTGGGTAAAATGAGGACCCAGATTGTTGGGGGAAATATGCTGACTCTGTAAACTGCTCCGAGAGGGCTGCAAAGCACTGTGGAGCGGTATATAAATCTAAGTGCTATTGTTATTATGACTATTGGAGCATCCTCACGATCACGTGATCAAAATTTTGGTGCTTGTCAACCAGCCATGTATTCATGACGATTGCAGTGTCTCGGGGTCATACGATCATCGTTTGTGACATTTCCAGCCAGCTTACAACAAGCAAAGTCAATGGGGGGAATTTGTATTCACTTAACAGCCTGATTCACTTAACTGTAGCAAAAAAAAGTAAAATGACACATGACTCACTTACCAACCACCTTGCTTAGCAACAGAAATTCTGGTTCCAATTGTGGCCATAAGTCAAGGACTGCCTCTTATTGGATGTCCAGTGCAATTCACATGTTTCAGTTGGGCAGTCCTTTATTTGCACAAGGGACTGATGCAAGTCTTTCTGCAACTTGAATATCTATTTAGAGCAGCAGAATTGCTGCCTCCAGCAGTGGAGGTGCCACCAATAACCTCTAATGTGGTTCACTGTTGCATATAGACTAGCCTACATTCCTAGACTGACATTTGAAGAATGCTTTATGAAATCAGAATTAATCTGCATAACTGTTCTTTCATTTGACTTTACAAAGTGCAGATATTTTTAGATACACACAAGAGCCCATCCCCACAGTGGCTTTTCTTAAAAATGTATCCAAAGATATTTAGAATATAGAATAACAGAGTTGGAAGGGACCTTGGAGGTCTTCTAGCCCAACCTCCTGTTTAGGCAGCAAACCCTATACCATTTCAGACAAATGGCTGTCCAATCTCTTCTTAAAAACTTCCAGTGTTGGAGCATCCACAACTTCTGGAGGCAAGTTGTTCCACTGATAAATTGTTCTGTCAGGAATTTTCTTTAGTTCTAGGTTGGTTCTCTTCATGATTAATTTCCATCCATTGCTTCTTGTCCTGCCTTCAGGTGCTTTAGAGAATAGGTTGACTCCCTCTTCTCTATGTCAACCCCTGAGATATTAGAATACTGCTATCATGCCCCTCCATCCTTCTTTTCATTAAACTAGACATACCCAATTCCAGCAACCCTTCTTTATATGTTTTATCCTCCAGTCCCTTAATCATCTTGATTGCTCTTCTCTGCACTCTTTCTGGAGTCTCCATATCTTTTTTTTACATTTTGGTCACCAAGTACAAAGAACCTTGATTGTGTTGAGCATGTCAACTGGTGGAATCTCCTTAGGTAAATGGGAAAAACATCTCATTTTCTTCATAAAAAAAGCCTATGCACAAAATAGGAAGCCAGAGAAGGAACATGGCAAAACAGTAGTTCCAAGCTAGCAAAGGAGTCAGACAAGGCTGAATACTCTTCCCAGTTGCCGTTGGTGTCCTATACTTGCGGGTGACCATACTGGAATTTCTTTCAACTGTGAAATCTCAGTTTTCTTTCTTAAGGGAGCAGGCAATATGCAAAAGAGGATCTTAATGCTGTGCTGAGATTAAGCTGCTTCATATTAAAATGTCTCAAGCCCCGTCATCAAAAGCAATAATTTGGCCTCTGAAACAAAGGTCCAGATAGATTTCTATTCCAGCCTCTTCCACTAAAATGGAGACTTGGAGCAACTGTGGAAATGCAGCTGACTTGCTTGTTTTCAGGATTTAAACACACACACAAACTGGTATACGCACAAACTGCTGCCGGACAGAGGAAAAAAAATTAAGGAAGGTAAAGCTTTAAGACCACCTCAGTTTTTTAAAGTATTTACAAAATCTGTTAAAACACTTGCTGACGGCTGCTAAGATATCTGGGAGACAGCTCGCGATGGCTGCTTATCATACAGCTCTTACTCAGACAGGATTAGCCATGTCATGCAAGACCACCTATATAAGGCCACACTTTTAGATTAGGTTCATATGGTTTGAGCTTGTTATATTGGATAAATCATACACTGGGTTCACCAAATACCTCACAAACCATAGTGTCTTGAAAGCAATGACTGGGTTCGCAGTCCTTCAGTCTCCATAATAGACTACCTTGGTTTATCAGCATGATTTGCAAATCTGGGTTTCATGTCAAGTTAAACATGGTTTCAGAAATTCACATCTTACTCTTGCCCACTAGGTGGCAGGAAACACCCAATCAACAAAATGAGGTTGATTTGGAAGAGATTGAAGTGTGTTTTGATGATCTGATGAGATAAAAAGTATTTTTGCTATCTTGTCTATATATATGCTAAACTTGGGAACTGATACTTGATTGGATGTGCTTTCAGCACATACGTAATTTGTACTGTCTCATGAATCCATCTGGGAATTCATTACTTGTATTAATTGTGATCTAATTCCCCCATCGTTTAATTGCACAAAAATATCCAGATTAAGAAAAAAAACCATGTGAATTGATTATCTTGATTATCCAATGACTATCCTATGCAATTGCAGGCAAAAC